CCCCAAAACCCCAAAACCCCATATGCGTAAAATTGAAAAGAACAATAATAATTTAGATAAAAAATTTATCTGACTATAAATATTTTAATGAGTCTAATTGTATATAATTGGCTTATAATCGATCTTCATTGGATTTTATTCATGATTTTATCATCAATCGGATTTTTAGCTTGAATAAGCTTCTTCTCAAATAGCTTCCAGCCTTCATTTTCCTTTATTTATTGACTGCTTTCATTCGTACTTAAAAACATATCACTTGTCTAGTGATGATATATGTCTGTTTTAGATCCTTTAATCCACTAGTCTTCAATTAGCTATTATGCAGTTGCTCTTCTGTTTGGATCTACATTAAGCATCTTCTAAATTATATTCTTCGCACCACTACTAACATGGTCTGGGACATCATATAATCCTCGAGCTATTTTCTTATAGAGATCCTTATCAGAGAGACCTTTAAATGGAAACTGACCGCAGAGCATTGCAAAGAGCAAGATTCCTGTTGCCCAGATATCTGTGGGAGGACCTAAGTATTCCTTTTTCATCACTATCTCTGGACACATATATGAAGGTGTTCCACAGAATATTTTAAGTCGGGTGTCTGCAGTGGTACAACAACAGAAACCGAAATCAATCAGTTTGACATTTCCTCTTTTATCAATGATAATATTCTCCAATTTGATGTCCCTATTAGAATGAATCAATATGATGTAAAACTTACCTATGAGTAACATTTTTAGAGTGAAGGTAGGCTAAGACATAGAGTAGCTACCTTACTATACGTTTACATTCCTCCTCAGGCAATCTCCTATTGGGTTAAGCTTTTAGGTAACCATGCAGAGAATCTCCAACAGCATACTCCATCACTAAGTAGACTTGCTTACTTGTATCTATGCTCTCATATAACTTTACAATATTGGGATGATTCAATTTACTCAAGATCTTAATCTCTCTCAAAGCTGATTTCTTTCTCTGAAGATCCATAAGTTTGTATCTATCATAAATCTTTATAGCTACTCTTTCGTTTGTTGGTCTATGCACACTCTCTTTGACAACAGCATAAGCTCCATGGCCAATCTACTTGCCCAAATTATAGTCATTAATATCTGAACATCCTTGAGTTGCAAACTCATGAAGTCTTGTAATTCCTTAACCAGCTGTTGAACTGCTTCTCTAGAATCCTTTAGTATTCTGGAAAAATTAATTTTGCTATTGCTAGATCTTATAAGCTTCTCTGTTATCTTTCAGCTTTTTAGTAAAGCTGTTTTCTTATTTATCGATCCCGATTGCTGCAGTATGGATTTTTTAAATATTAGCTGCAGTTCCTGGAAGACTATTAGCGTCTGATCCAGTACTAAATCTTCCATAGATTGCATTAATAGCATTACTGCTCACCATGCCTTTAAAGGATTGTCTGTAACTTCCTGTTTAAGGTCTCACAGCAGGCCCATTCGGCTTTGTGGTAAGATCGGTAGTAAAGAAATTATTGCATTGCTTTTGAAGTTCATGACCAACTCCACTTGCTGCAGGGGTATTGTCAGTGATAATTTCGCCGTTGAATGCTCTATTTCGGATAAGAGTTTGTATATGATTAACTACTTATTTTCCTCCTTATCCATTAGGGTTCATGTTCATCAGATTAGAATTAGAGTTTGCACTCGCTTTCCTTTTTGCTCTCACTGATGAAACAGCTGTTGTAGCTCTTTATTTGCTGATTGGCTGCGTTCCTTAGTATTAGTCAGGTAGTTCTTGCTCATAAGCAAGTTCTTAGTGATTTTTAGCTCCTGAAAAGAAATTGTTTACATTTAAGTGAGCTTATGGTCTGCTTGATTAATTTTGGCTAGTTATTCTCTCGGTGCTCTCATTATTGACGTTTGAGTGTTTCTTTGAAAGCTTAAATAACTCCTTAGCTCCTTATCTTATTTATTCTTAGTCTAAAGTTGGCTCTGATAAGATTTAGGCAGTTGAATCATTCGTAAAGAGATTATTTTGGTTGCTAAGCATACTTATTTTAGCATTAGATGTAGTCATTACTTAGTCTTTAAGATTATCATACCTTCTTCTCAAATAATCATCTAAATATTTCTCAGCATTATTAGCTTCTTCTCTTTTCATTGAAAAAGTTTTTTTCCTACCGGATTATCCCCTAAATGCACTAGTAGTTGGTCTCTAGTTAAGTTTAAACACATTTCCGAAGTTATTAGGAGGGAATTACACCAAAGCATTAGTTTGAGTTTGGTTACTAGGAATATTTTAGGTGCTCTATAATTCCTGAAGGGCTTTGGTTGGCTGATTCTTTTGATGACTGACAATGTTGAAATTCGGTGATAGTATTTCTTTCAAGGACATCGTACCACCAAACTATTGATGCTAGTTATTCAATTGACCTGGATAGTTGTTGTTTTTATTCAGCATAGCATTGCTTCCTTAGCTAATTCCATTGCTAAAAGTATTGAGTTGGGTTCCTTGCTTAAAAACTGATTTTCCAACGACTTATCCATTGACTTGAGCGAATGAATTTTTCTTTTAGACGTCTCCATAAGCATTTGCTGTATAGATTGTTTAAGTTTATGGTTTTCGAGCATGTGCAGCAGATTATAGTAACTTTCTCTTTTATTTAAGTAATCCATTGAATGGTTTTGAGTCATCTATTTTAAAATAAAACTTTTAAAGAATATACCTTCAAGATCAGGAGCAGATATGAGATGTTCTTCAGCAAGGACAGTGATAGCAGTTGCATCCTCCATGGTTTTATTTTTAGCAACATTTGAATGTCCTCATGCTTGTCCATTATGCTATTTCTAAATTTCATTCATCATTAGACCTGATGCCCTTGGTTGAGCGTGAATCAGTATTTGCTCTCCTGAGCCCGATCCAAACGATTCTACAGTTGCTTTTCTATTATGAAATACAGCAGCCATGAAGATTAAAAAAATTAGTTATATTTATTCAATTTAATTTTTCCCAAGCACTGAGATTTTTCGAATAAAGGGGTTTTGGGGTTTTGGGG